GAGTACATTCCCTAGATTTCCTTATAGAACAAAATTGTAATGTTTAAAAAACTTTATCCATTGGTAATCTTGAACGTGACGACCTTTAAGATCATTTGAAGGTCAATAAATTCGGTTTTCTGCCCACTTCTGACTCCGGAAATAAAGAGAGCCAGAAACCCGTTCAAGAATGTGTAAATATAACTATGACGATCAAGGTCATTTGAAAATCAAATATTTTTTAACAGGAAACATCGACTTTTAGTTCCTGAAATGCAAATTGTGGACAATTTTGAGTTCAAGTATATCAGATAAATTTTCAAGTAAGCTCCTTTCTTTTTTTCGAGGATTTAAAAAAGCGAAACCTAATTGTTGCGTTAAAATGTTGAATAAAAAATGTTAATTGCCAAAGTAACTATTGCACTTCCTTGGTTATTACATTTATATCCCCAAGACCTCAAACTAATGCGAAACGAATGATAAATATGTATATATATATATATATATATACAGTAATGGACAAAAGTATTTAGACAAATATGAATATTTAATTAAATACCTTTAGAAAACGGATTCATAAAATCCATAAACAAATGCGTTATTAGAAGAAAAACTAAATTCCTTGTTTCTACATTATCTGCAATGAACACAATACAAGTCTGAATATAAGCACTTTTTTATGAGGGACAAATATATGTAGACAAATTCTTTTCAACAGTTTGTGTCCATCAAGAATTGTGGAATAAGTTGAGTAATTTTAAGACCATGCCGCGTGGTCCAGAAATTTCTTTCGATGTGAAACCTAAGATCATTGAGAGTTATATATAGCTAAAGATGGTCAACGTCAAGTCGACATTGTCCAAAATTTGAAGCTGAAGCGTAAAGCAGTTTGGGCAATATTGAACAAAAAGGTATCTTGGAAGCCTCTAAGAGAAGTGGTCGGCCTAGAAAACTAAAGGCTAGATCAGTTAGATTAATAAAAGTAATTTCGTCCAAAGATCCGTTTAAAACCCCAAGACAAATAAAAGCCGAAATCGAGACAAAATGAATTGCCAGTGTTTCTACGAAAACTATAAGTAGAAGATTAAATGATTTGAAGTTATTTGCACGTCGCCCGATTAAGAAGCCCCTAATCTCGAGGAAAAACCGCAAGGACCGATTACAATTTGCACGGTTGCATCTTGATTGGAGCATCTTTGACTACAAGAGGGTATGTTTCAGTGACGAGTCCAAGTTCAATATATTTGGATCAGATGGTGCTCATTACGTTAGACGTCCTAGTGGACAAAGATTGAACCCCAAGTACACTTTGCCCACTGTCAAACATGGAGGCGGGTATGTTATGGTTTGGAGGTGCTTTTCGGGTTTGGGATGGGACCTTTACACAGAATAGATGGCATTATGGATGAGTTTGTATACACAGACATACTAAGGCATGTCATGTTACCCTATATGGAAGACAATATGCCCTCAAGATCAATCTTCCAGCAAGATAATGACCCGAAGCGCACTTCAAATCTCGCAAAGAAATTCTTTCTGGATGAAAAAGTACGAGTTCTCAAATGGCCTTCACAGTCTCCCGATATAAACCCCATTGAAAATCTATGGGAATACTTAGATAAGCAAATACGAGATAAAAATTATTCAAACAAGGATGAACTGTTTGCCGCTTTAGAGCAAATGTGGATACAGATTGATGAATCTCACATCAAGAAACTTCTACAATCTATGCCGAGACGATGCCAGGCGGTGATTAATAATAATGGTTATGATACAAAATATCAACACAAACATGGTTAGTTTTCTATAATTCAATGAACTTTGCTTCTTTTTTCTATAATTGTTTTGCCTTGACTATATATTTTTGTCCTTCATAGTTCCAGTTCTTTTCAATTAATTTTTTTAAGAATGAATGAATGAATTTATTTATGTATAAGTTATGCTATAACAAATTATGTATACAGGTTGGTATATTAATAAAATAAGTTAAAAAAGAAATACAGCACAATATTAATTTGTCTATATACTTTTCTCCATTACTATATATATACTTTAGGGCCGAATTGTCAGTCGTTCCAACAATTGTAGGAGGCCTTTATCCTCTTGGATTTTCATCGTCTTTTCTCTCCTTTCGCAAGGCTGTGGATTTCTAGACCTCTTTTTTTGTCTAATTATGAAATGTCCATACCTGTATGTATTTTTCACACATCGCTCTACACTTTTATGAATTGAACCTGGAACCAAATCCACTTGAACTTCAATATGATCACGATTTTCAGCAAGTTCGCGACCGTTCTTTAATGTGTAAACATATTTAACTACATTAAGCCATTAAAACTCATTGTCTCAATGATTCAATAGTAGCCAACGGTCGACTGGCGAGCACCTTGTGAAATGCGTCAAGCATGAAGTATGACGACCTATCTCTCAGCCCACGCATTCGACAGTAAAACTCTTGCACAATTAGGTTCATTAAATTACCGATTTCTTTTCATTAGAGAATTTCATAAGGTTGTCCGTAACGATATGAAATTCTGTACGATAACTTTTGTACAAACTCAAGAATAATGCCAGGTAGATAATTTTGTATACACAAATTTAGCGCAGCATTTTTTAAATAATTTGATATAAATGTGCGAGGATGCGTACTGGGCTGACGGCAAAACTGAAAAGAAAACAAAAGTGTGGTTCGAATACGAGGGATGTCTTTTAAGTTTTTCATATAGAAACATAGTAGGCCGCGCGGATCGTACGTCAGTACTGAATCTTTACCTCACTCTTTAGTAAACTTAAATTCAAAGTTTCACAACAATACGTGCAGTGTTCTCACTACAGTGTATTTTTAAGTGTCACCAAGTCATTGGAAAAATGGAACTCAACCGAGAGCATTTTCGCGCCATAATTTATTACAACTTTCAGAGACAATTATCGCAACAAGAATGCCTTGCTGAGTTACTGTCTGTTTTCGGCAACGAAGCGCCACATCAGTCGACAATTTCCCGTTGGTATGGGGAACTCAAACGTGGACGGGTGAGTCTTAGCGACGATTCCAGAGTGGGTGCACCAAAAACGGCAGTCCCCGGGAAAACGTCGATGCTGCGCGCAAACTCATCATTGAAGATAGACATGTAACATATCGCGAGATTGAGGCGTCCTTGAAGATCTCAAAGACCTCAATTCAAAAAATTTTACATTAACAATTAGGAGTAATAAAACTAGTTTCTCGTTGGATACCCCACCTGTTGACAGAGCAGAAAGCAGCCAGGGTTAATTGGTGTCAAAAAACGCTTGACCGTTTCAATCCCGGAAACTCAAAAAATGTGTACAGCATTGTTAGTGGTGATGAATCGTGGATTTACTGTTATGAACCAGAAAATAAACGACAATCGGCTGTTTGGGTGTTCCAAGGTGAAGAAAAGCCAACAAAAGTCATACGTTCTCGAAGTGTTTCGAAAAAGATGCTCGCGACATTTGTTTCAAAAGCGGGTCATATTGCAATAATTCCTCTTAATGAACAAAGAACTGTTACTGCGGATTGGTATACCACCATTTGTTTGCCAAAAGTCATCACCGAGCTTCGAAAGATCAACCCCGAAAGAAGAATCATCCTCCACCAACACAATGCAAGCTCGCACACAGCCCAAAAAACAAGTCAGTATTTAACGGAAGAAAACGTGGAATTATTGGACCATCCTCCATATAGTCCCGATCTAAGTCCTAACGATTTCTTTACTTTCCCGAAAATTAAAAGCAGACTGCGTGGTCAAAGGTTCCAGTCACCAGAAGAAGCAGTTGACGCATTCAAAAATGCCGTTTTGGATCTGCCAGCAAACGAGTGGAATAAGTGCTTCGAAAATTGGTTCGAGCGCATGCAGATGTGTATTAATCTTCGTGGAGAATACTTCAAAAAACAATAAAGACATTTAAAACTACCTACCGTGATGTTTTATTTCCATATGCAAAACATAAAAGAGATCCCTCGTAGATGTTTGACATTGCGGACAAGACGGTTCGAAAATGACGGAAATAGGAGGTATTTTCAAAAGCAGCGAAAAGAACACTGGGTAGTTTTTTATCATCCGAACGCACACGTTTTCATACGAAGTTTTTTACAAAAACGTGTTTCTATGACAAAGAGGATTGAAAATCTAGAAATTGAGAAGTAAATATAGTAACACATCTGTTGCATTAACTAATATTTTCATACTGAATTGGGAGACAAAAAAGCATAGTTTTTGGGAATATTGACCCACTACGTTCAAAAATGTTCGGGAACATCGGGAAAAAAAAGAAAAAAAAATAGCGTGAAGTAAATTGACTAAGTTCAGAATTTTCAAAAAATAATGTGTCAAGCCTATTCTTATGGAAACAAACTCGACTCTATGTGTTCGTTCAAGTACAATATGTGGGATTATTATGTCTAACAGGTGTGTAGTACCACTGGGATCATAAGCTTCTTGATAATAGAACGTCTCTCATACAACAGATGCAACATTTACAGTCCCCATCCCAGTAGCCCCAAACTTTAAAGTTTTAAAACCTCGAAAAATGAAGATTCAACGATACTTTTCGTAGCTTTGCCGCCAGTAGACCAATTAAAGTTTATTCATCCTTAACAGTAAGTAATCTTTGGACAATTAAATCTAACGTCTTAAATTGCTGCGATGAGACTCGACTGATCAAAACTGGGAGATACGTTACAATTTATATTCACATTGAAAACTGTATTAAACTCACAAATAAGACAATATCTGTAAAGAGCTCCACAATATGTTTAGGGCTCTTGAGGAACTAAAAACTCCACAAATATCAACATATGGGTTTGAATCAGAACATTCAAATTTCAGGAGACTTTAAAATCGTAAAACATCAAATCTGCAACTGTATACCAATGTTAACACAATAATTGGAATTTAAAGATACACCAAGATGATATGTAGTACCTATGAGTCTTGGCTGTTCAACTTTCTGATTTGAAAAGTTTGCGATTACATTGTGCATAGTTAAAAAGAAAACCTTACCTTTTTCTCTAACGAGTCCGCACTGTCCAAGCACCTCCTTCCATGGTCCGTCAAGGAGGCCATGGACGATTCCGAATCAGACATCGTCTCCGAGTCAGACGTATAGTGACTGCGATGGTGATCCAGTTCGTCTTCACTATAGTTCGTTTCACTAGGACGCACATCTAAACATGGAACAGAAAACACTGACACTTCCTCCTCTTTGATCTCTTCATTCATTACTTCCATTCTTCTTCCCTTCTTTCTCCTAACTTTGTCCACTATCCAGGCAACTAGTCCTGGCAAATCAACTGACCGTAGCAATTTTAACCAAGAGCAAATCCTACTGATCGCTCTGACAGACATCAGTGGTATCCACAAGCACTATTAGACGAAGATGTGGATTACGTGTTCCTAACAGATAGGTACCTGCTCGTGATTTTTTGGCAAATCGGAGAAAAATATGCTTTAAAATAGGTCACAGACTAATTTTTAGATGTATACTGATCACGTTCGTGAGACGAAGTGGACTACCATCTTCTGGAGCAGGTAGAAAGACCAGTATTCGTTATTGGTGGCGACAGGTGCTGAATATTATTATCTCGTAATTAAATAACCGTCTTGTTTCTTAGAAAGAAGGGTAGAAGCTTAGAAGGTAAGACTCGGTATGGTTTTTACCTGAAGTATCTTAATATTTATATTAAATTACATAGGCAAGTACCACAAAGATATACCTACACAGAGTGTTTAGCAAACAAAAAGCGAGCGATGTGGAGTTTTTAAGAATCGATTTCCTGTTATCCAAGTAACAAGGCGCACTATTCATTTTATTATATTCTGTCAGCTGCGCAGTTAAACTAAAATAACGATGACATACAAATTTTTCGTCATTACGTCTTTTTTTTTCAAACCTATTTGCAGATATCAATCTGTCACTATACAGGGTGGCCCATCCGGAATATTACTATAAACAAATTCATTTTGGGAAAATCTATGGGATGTTATACATGACATTTGAGGGCACATTTCTAAAATATTGTGTCCCAATTTCGACCTGCATATCAAAGTTGTGATTTTTCAAATGGAACGCATCAAATTTTATTGCATATTTGGATAAACCAATTCAAAAGAAGAAAATTGATATAACATACTATGGGGTTTTGGTAATTAGCTACTGAGATATAAGGTGTTTTATCTAGAACAACCCCCCACTTCGGCAACCCCTCAGTCGGCCATTTTGAAATTTGGAGTGCTGAATTTTGTATTAAAAAAAATTTACACACCTCAGCACTTACCTTATTTGTTACTTTTTCGAATTTTAATTTTTGCTCATACAGGGTGGTCAAAAACGCAAATTGTAGTTTTTCTTGAATGTTTCAAATGCATCACCCAGTATATTTGTGCGTGTTTGTATTAAATTTTTTATAAGCTTTTTTGATACTAGAAACATAAGGGTTTTTACGGCTATTTTTTCGGTTATTAGCACGTCTTTTATGGAACGGCTTAATTCCCTAAAATATCGCATCATCCTTGGAAACAAATAAATTGTTGATTACTTACAAACTTTCAAAATTAGCTTTGTGAACATTATAATAAAAACGTGTTTGAAGATGAATTTTTCTGAAGAAGAAATAGTGAATATGGTGTTCGTTTGGGGCGAAGCCCAAACTAATAGTTTCCTAGTATCTCGCATGTATAAGCAACGGTACCCTAATATGTGACATCCAAGGCCTGAACCATTTTCCACACTACGAGAACGTTTTGAATCAATTGGAGCAGTGGAATATAGTAAAAAATGTATAAATAATCCAAGTGTCACCAATGAGGCGAACCAGTTGGAGGTTCTATAGAAGTTGCAGGAAAATCGCCATAGTGATAGTTGTTTGTTTATGTTGTTATTGTTATTTTTCTCTATTACGCTTGAAGTTGATTTATACTGTTCTGATTGTTATTAGTTTTTACGTCAAATCTGTACTCTCGGTGGCAATATGGAATTTGCCCATTGTTTGTCTTTTGTTGCCATGGATGATGTGATTTGTTTTCCTTAATTTTGGTGTGTTGTTCTATTAAAAGCTTAATAACTCAAAAACTACTATTTTATCTGAATCAAACCCTATACCAAAAAAAAGCTTATAAAAAATTGAATCCAAACTTGCGCAAATATGCAGGGTGATGCATTTGCAATTTTTGAGAAAAAGTACAATTCGCGTTTTTGACCACCCTGTATGAGCAAAAATAAAAAGTAACAAATAAGATATAAGCTGAGGTGCGTAAGTTTTTTTTTGATACAAAATTCAGCACTCCAAATTTCAAAATGGTGGATTGAGAGGTTGCAGAAGTGGACGGTTTTTCTCTACAAAACACCTTACATCTCAGTAGCTAATTACCAAAACCCCATTGTATGTCATATCAATCTTCTTCTTTTGAATTGGTTTATCCAAATATGCAATAGAATTTGAGTGATTCCATTTAAAAAATCACAACTTTGATATGTAGGTCAAAATTGGAACACCCTGTATAATTGCCAATATTTTAGAAATGTGCCCTCAAATGTCATGTATAACACGCCATAAATAGATTTCCCCAAAATGTATTTGTTTTCGAGTAATATTCCGTCACACATGGATAAGCCACCTTGTACATGTAAAGTGCTGACACTTGCGAAACTGAGATCGAACCCTGTGGAGCTCCCGCGTTGATTATGTGTGATTATATGATGGAAGGTTTTTTACTTGCCAACATCCAAAACTAATCGAAATCCTTGATCAATCAATTAAATACTGTGATCACATATAGAAAGTTTGCTCACCAGCAGCAGATCCTTTAACATCCATGACCATATGAGATGGCATTACCATCAGTGGAGGTGTTGGTGAGGAGGCTAACTTATCCATGTCCAGGGGCTGGCTCAGAGATCTTCGTAGCCTGTGATGATGGGCTGAAAGGCGACTCACTCTGCTACTAGATGTTCGAAATACTACCTGTAATGGTGGGATGTGACCTTTTATGTCGTGAAAAAATGGCATTTCAATCTCAATAAGGGAATATTCTTAGAGGACTAAGAAAGTTGGATGCGTGTTCTCGTAAAAACTTGTAATAATAAAGATTGTCATCAACGAGTTTTCCAACAAATTACATTTTCATGAAGTGTTCCATACAAAAGTGCAGTTGACTTGGAACATATATTCCTCAGGTTTTCAGAGAACCATTATTCTGCGTCGAAATGATTTCTAGACAATGAGTTTCCTCCCTTTGTGCTAAATGAAACGCAAACTAAATTTCGAGATTAACATCCGCCTACAAAAGTTGGATGAGTATACATAGAGATGAATTTCACAAGGAAATGAGGTGTCCGTAACTAGGAAAATATAATCAGGGCATTATAGCAGGCTATTGTTGATTTTTTAAATAAGTTATCCAGTGGAAGATTATTCGTTGCAAAAATGCTGTGTAACAATTGCATCTATTGCTCAAAATGAACCCGTGATCTTCACCCTTGTGATTGAAATGTCAAGCTTAGGGAATTATCGATATGTAAACCACAGGTAAGTTTTAGATGTTCAGTTTCTATTTTGACTCGAAAATATCAACTTACAATATCAAGTTTTCCAATTTTTTTAATGTCATAGATTTGAGAGTATAATTATACGTATAATAGACATCATTCAGTAGAATGCTGTTTGTTCTTTTAAATTCCAAATATTATCCAAATAGGTATACTTTGTCTGAGCAAATACTTTTACCTAAACTATTTAAACAAATACAATAAATATAATTAAACTGTTTTATTTGAAGTAAATAAACACATCTTAATAGTGCATTAATTTTAAATAAACCGGTTTACCCAATCTAAGTGAACGGTTTAATAAATTTAAATAAACTATTGCCTTTTGTGCATAGTTAGGGTGGTTTCTTAAATTCAAGTACACTGTTTTAGAAATCGTAGTTATCAATTACAATTACACTGGACAACAAATTTTAGTTTTTTAATTGTATCTTGTGGGAAAAGTGCACTTCTTTGTTAATTTTGGGGCGCTGAATCCAAAAATGACAATGAAATAAAAAAATTAGTTGCGGTTTAGAAAAAAAACTTTTTTATTTTTAAGGATATATTAAAAAAAGTAACAAGATTCATATACTTATAAGAATCACTATATGCGCTGTCTTTTTGCTGTTCTTTTATGGATCGTTTCTGGAGCATCTCTACCAAGAGTCCAACAGTAGTCTGCAAGCATGGATTCCACTTTCCGTGGTACCTTTTTTCCATTGTTGAAATATCCTGATGAAAACGTTCGCCGTGCTCATCACTTACGGCTCCGCAATTGTCAGGAAAAAAGTCCAGGTGTGAGTGTAGGAAATGTATCTTAAGAGACATATTACAGCCCATCTTTTGATACGATGACAGCATATTTTTGACAAGGGTTTTATAGTTGTCAGCTTATCTATTTCGCAAGAAATTAGTGACCACCAGACGGAAATCATTCCAAGCAGTTTTTTCAATACCTGTTAAAGTGTTTTCAAACTGTGTATCTTTCAAAATATTTCGAATCTGTGGCCCAACAAAAATACCTTCTTTAACCTTTTCCTCACTTAGTCTTGGAAATTACTGACGCAGGTATTGAAAAGCTGACCCATCTCTATCTAATGCCTTGACAAAGTTTTTCATTAGGCCCAACTTGTTATGCAGTGGTTGTAATAAAATTTTTTTCGAATCTACTAATGGCATATGCTGTACATTTTTTTGACCTGGCTCTAGGAATTGACGAACAGGCCAGTTTTGTCTGGTGTAATGAAGTGCCTTTGCCCGACTGTCCCATTCACACAAAAAACAGCAAAACTTTGTGTAGCCTAGCTGCAGCCCAAGTAAAAGTGCAACAACTTTCAAATCGCCACAAATATGCCATTGGTACTCATCGTATTTTATGCATGTCAATAGGTACTTCATATTGTCATATGATTCTTTCATGTGAACTGCATACCCTACAGGAAGAGATGGTAAAATATTTCCAATGTGCAATAACACTGCCTTTAAACTCAATGTTGAACTGTCTATAAACAATCTCCATTCCTCTGGGTTATAGTTTATATTTAAAGCCGCCAGTAAGCCGTTAATGTTACTGCAGAAAACCAAGTTATTCTCCATATTGAAAAATGGTTCTAAGTCTTTGTGGCATTTACGAAAAACACATACCGAAACATCGCCTTCTAACAAGTTCCACTGCTGCAGTCTTGATCCAAGTAACTCTGCCTTACATTTTGGAAGTTCTAAATCTCTTACAAGATCATTTAATTCTGACCGTTATTTTGTGCGGTTGGTGGCATGACGTGCTCGGTATAAAATCAGGATCTCTTGACGTTGATGGCATATCATCTTCCTGACGAATCACTCGATCGCCATGATCTGATTCGTTTTCCGATTCGCAAGTGTAGGATTCTGGGGGTTTTGGAATAGGATTTTCGTCACTGTGAGGCACAGGTCTCATCGCAGATGGTATGTTTGGGTAGTTAATAACCGATTTTTTTTTCTTGGACATACCTGTGGCTTGTCCAACACAAGGTACCATGCAAAAGTAACAATCATTAATATGATTTGTAGGCTCTCTCCAAACCATTGGGACAGCAAAGCGCATAGACCGTTTTTTGCCATTTAACCAGCTCCTCAGACTTTTGAAGCACATGTATTACAGCAGATGTGGGGTGCCCACTGTTTGTCTTGATCACCTAGTTTACAACCGAAATAAAGCTGATATGCCTTTGTTATTAGTGGAGTAATAGACTGTCTCTGAGACGCAAAAGTCACATCACCTCACACGTAACAAAACTGATCTGGATTGTTTACACACTTTCGAGACATGAACGCTGTCAGCCAACTGAGGAAAAAATGGCTAATATAAAACAATATAATGTACACGTATGTATAACGTAACACAATCATGCCGATTACATCATCTTTCCTTGCCGAATATAAAAATGTAGCACGTGCATTCTTGTGAATTACAGTATATTAACACTGTCACAGCAGGAACACATATAATTACCGTATCTCTAACACTTGAACTATTATTGAAAAAATAAGTTTCATTCCGGTTTTAGCACATTAAAAATAGTAATATTTTGTTGATTTTATTTAGGATATTTTTTGGCTGTTGATCAGTGTTATTAAACTTGTTAGCTGTCACATAGTTGATTAAAATTTTGAATGTTTTTCTCCGTGTGCTTTTCAAATTACTGACCTGCGGTGTTGACTCCTGGTGTCCTTTGGGTTGATGATGCGGGGAGGGGGAAGACGAAGAGAAGGCCATCTGTCGGCGAAGGGCGTGCTGATAGGCTGCGGACAGTGCGCCGCTGTACGAACCGACGGGGTGCTCGCCGAGGTCGCTGCGCGTGCGCCGAACGCGACCCCCCGCGGCACCGGTGCCCGTACGCCACTGATGTGGCTGTTGTTGCTGCAGGTGGTACTGCCTTAGGTCAGCCTGAAAACGGATAGCAAGACGTCTAATACATGCTTTATGAACGTAATGTACATTGCATGCAAGTATGTATTGTATATAGAGACCCCCGCAGTACCAATGCTTGCACGCCTCTGCTAACGTCCATTTACGCGAATTCCTTCAAAAATGAAAAAAAAAGAAATAACGAAAACTAAGGAAATTCAATAATAACTTTTTATAAGGTTCCACCCTTTGCCCCAATTTGAATTGTTTGCTTTTGTCAAATTTTATAAGATAAGCCCTATTTCTGGAGTATCTATTATCTTTTGACGTCTAATGAGGTGAACAGCTGATCAGCAGGTGACATCTTTGTATTGGTCTGTAACTGTAAATCGGGAATAATCTGGTAAAACTGAGGACATTATTTAGAGCTGTTGTTCACATAGCTAGAAGCTAGATACTTTTAGTGACTGAGAAAGTTGTCTTTTGTCAATAAAATATATGAGGCACACACAAAAATGTTTATCAGATAATAATTATTGTAGCAGTCTGGGATTTATTGATTAAAATGTAATGATATTTATTTGTCTTCAAAATAACTACACTCAAAGAAAATTTATATCGGGGCAAATAAATAGAAAACTTGTAGAAGGGTTACCCTTGTATACTTTATCTGAAGTCACTTGAAACACTGTGTAATACCGGGTGCGTTTTATATATCTATATTTAACACGCTCTGTTGCTGCAAAAATCGCCAAATTTCGCAGCAAATATCCCCCGTATAAGATCAAAGGCAGTTTCACCGGTCCACGTGGAGTAAAGCATGCCTATGCGTGGACATAGCCAATGAGAAAGCGTGTATTTCAGAGCTCCGAACAAGTGCAGGTGGCTACTGAAAATTGAAACAGTTTAGCCAGTGCCGTGTAGCGGTGAATAAACGTGTTCTCTTTAGTCTGTCCGTGTTTTTTCATAGATTTTATTAGTTTGTGTGTTTTTGACTTTTGAATACTCAGTTTACTTGTTGATTTAATTGTTGTGTTGATTGTTCTTGTGTGTCCTAAATATGGCTCTTTGGAGACCTTGGGAAAATGCTCCAAGCCACGAGGAGATGGTTGATGAACCTGTGCAGGCAGAATTCTTTCATAAAGATTTAGAGGAACAGACCCAAAGAGTAATCCTAAATATGTATGATTGTCTGAAAAACGAAAATCCAGATTCCTCGCAAAATCAAATTTTAAACAGAATTTGTATCCTGACATAAAACAGTCGGTCTACCATTTATCGGGTTATAAAAAGGGGAGATGTAGTCAACCATTCCTTCCACAGAAAGCGCATTGGGCAAAAATTAAAAAGAATAGACGTGGGTTTTCAGGAAGATATTCGTCGTATAATATACGGATTTTATAAAGAAAATTTGGTGCCCACGTTGGAAATGATACGGGATAAATTAAAAGATTATCCTGAAGATTTTTATAATTACAAATGCTTAGACTCACTGCACTGTATTGTAAAACTGTGTGGTTTTCAATACAAAAAATTAGATAAAAGAATGGTGATTATGGAGTCGTCTCGAATCGTTGAATTGCGCCAAGAATTTTTGCACAAAGTTAAAATCTATAGAGAGCAGAAAAGAAATCTGATTTACCTGGATGAAACGTGGTATGATACCCATGATGTTGTGCAGTACGGCTGGGTTGACGACAGCAACAAGTGCATTTTAAATGCACCATGCAACCGTGGAAAACGAATCATTATTCTGCCAAAAATATCAAAGAATCATGTGCCGACTATCATGAGGACATGACCTCCGACTTATTTGAAAAGTGGATAGAGCAGCAGTTAATACCAAACATTTCCCCAAATTCAGTGATTATTATGGACAATGCGCCATACCATTCCCGACAGAAAAACAAAATTCCGAATACAGGCTCAAAAAAACAAGACATTATTGATTTTATGAAGGATAAGGGAATGGAAATACCACAAAAATCAACCAAAGCCATATTATTGGATCTTATTAAAAGACAAAAATTTGAAAAAGAGTATGTTGTTGACAATCTGCTTCAGCAAAATGGCCATGAAGTATTACGCCTACCTCCCTATTACTGCATTTTTAACCCGATTGAGTTGGTCTGGGCTGCTTTAAAAAAAAAAGTAAGAAAACATAATCAGACCCCTCAATTAAGTGAATCGCTATTGGCCACAATAAGAGATGCAGTATCTCATATTGCTGCCACAGACCTATGGAAGCAGTGTTCTAGGCATATTATTGAAAAAGAAAATGAATATTGTGTTTTGCCTCCTGTAAATCCCGTTGTAATTCCTCTACAAGATGACTCTAGCGACAGCTCCGAAGGCGAGGATGATATACAGGGTGTTCCATAATTATTGCGACAAAATGATAGGGGTTGTAGAGGGCATAAAAATATGCAATTTTGCCTTATAAACCCCTGTTCGTAAATATGCCGTTTGAGCACTACCGCTAATTTTACCTCATAGGAGAAACAAAAAATTGACCAGCTGCAAAATGTTCGTCTAGCACATTTCATGGTCTCGCCAGGTTGTAAAAAAAGCCTGCTGTGTTTACATTTTTGTTATCGTGAAATCTCCACACCGATTCATTTAATTTATCTGAGTGGTGCGTCAAACTAGATAGTAAATAACAGTACCTTAGTGTTAAAATGCAGCGTTATTCGTACGCGGAACTTCCGGATATGCATTTAATTTACGGAGAAGCTGGTGGTAACGGAAGACGAGCCTCGCGAATCTACGCCCAACGGTTTCCAGAACGTCCTCATCCACATCACGCCATTTTTGCAAGGATTCATGGACGTCTTCGTGTCAGTGGCAGCATCAGACACCTCACGGGAGCAGGGCGGCCCTTCACGAGGCGCACAGTAGAATTTGAGGAAGCGATTCTGCATCATGTAGAGGCCAATCCGCGTATAAGCGTGCGTGCTATTGCACATGATATGGCAGCGTCTCAAACTAGTGTTTGGCGGGTTCTCCATGACCAGCAACTACACCCATACCACCTTTTAAAAGTCCAAGCCATGGGTCCAGAAGACTATCTGCCGCGTCGACGTTTTTGTCGTTGGTGGCTGCAGCAGGAGTTGAGACAACCAAACTTTGGTCGCTACGTTTTGTTCACTGACGAGTCCTGTTTTACAAAGGACGGTTATTTTAATAGCCGTAACAGTCACATTTGGGATGAAGAAAACCCTCATGCCATAGCCATCCATAGAGACCAACATCAGTTTTCAATTAACATCTGGTGCGGCATTGTGGACGAGCATATCATCGGGCCATATTTGCTTCCACCACGTTTGGATGGGCATGCTTATGGTCGATTCTTACAGCATGTGCTACCGGAACTATTAGAAACTGTGCCACTGAACATAAGAGCCAATATGTGGTTTCAACACGATGGCGCTCCAGCCCACTTTTCTTTACAAGTGCGGCAGTATTTAGACGACAAATTTCCAAATAGGTGGATAGGCCGAGATGGCCCTGTACCTTGGCCTGCGCGGTCACCCGACCTGACCCCACTGGATTATTTTCTCTGGGGCCATCTGAAAGCTTTAGTGTACGAAACTCCTGTTCCCAACCAACAAGAGCTACTGGGAAGAGTGATGGCCGCGTCCGCACATGTTCAGGACATACCGGGGGTATGCCACAGAGTTCGCCGATCATTGAACAATCGTGCACAGCTGTGTATTGAGCAAGGTGGAGGACACTTTGAGCAATTACTGTAGGTAAGCTGTTTCAAGAAACTGATCTTTTTTTTTGCTGCAGCCCAAACGGCATATTTCCGAACAGGGGTTTATAAGGCAAAATTGTTCATTTTGATGCCCTCTACAACCCCTATCATTTTGTCGCAATAATTATGGAACACCCTGTATAGATACCTATAATGTAAGTCTTTATATACCTTTTTATATACCTACCTGCTATGTAAGTATTTGCCTATGTCAAACGTTGGAATTCGGTAATTTTTCCATTTCTTAACTTTCAGTGAACATAAATTAAACTCGCAATATAAGTATTTTTTATCCCAAATCAAAAAAATAAGAAGATAGTAAAATCCATTTATTGTGATATAAAAACATTATTATTATCGTTCTAAATAAATGACCGCACGCCTATGATACGTCATGAAATTACAAAGGACGCGCCGACCAAAAGTTTTTATGCTATTTCAAGTGACTTCAGACAAAGTATAGTATACGCCGGTAACATAAACGTCAATAGAACAGACTGTGTTGTCCCTTCAAGTAGCTGTAATTTGACTTGTAAAATATGATATAGACACATGTTTCTAGTTAATTGTCCATCAGTAGTATATAGTAATTCAAATATAGGTGTTTTATTGCCCCTAAGTTCTAAAAAGTAGACATGATTAAAGTCAGGAGCTATTTATCATGATCATTAGCCGCCATTTTGCTTCTAGCGTTTGTTTTTGGTTGCGAATGAACTTTTATAAATAATAGAGTTATTAGCAAGTACAAGATGAGTACGTAGTTTACAAAAAAAAAACGCTACAAAATACAGCTCTGCCTACCAGGCCTTGACAGATTCGTCAGAATTGTATGTCACTTGTCGATGGGGAATTTAGAGATATTACTAGATAATCAGCTATTGTTCTTCAATGATGGATACTCGTGAAAAATACAGTAAAATCTAGAATTAGTTCTTGCACCTACTAAGAAATATAACCTTATATTTTGGCAGAAGATCGAAAACGATTACTCAGCATTTTTTTAAATTTTCCATCGAACTGACTTAAAATAACCTTCAAATTTGGGCTCAAGTTACCTCAAAAACCTATTTGACACGCACCTACACCTAACTGCCAGACTCGTTTAAAATTGTCCTTGAAGTGACCTTCAAATAATGATCTCACAGTATATAACTAATTTCGGATTCGAACTTAGTGACCAGAAAAACCAGTATGATATGTTGTTGGGCTCAAGTGCTCGGCCTCTTTTGAAAGTATCCTTAAATCGACTTTCAAGTGCCTTTATGGAGACAAACTAACCTTG